CCCCCCCACCTCTCCTCCCTCGGCGGCTCCTCCCCCGCTCGCTGCAGGCCCTTCAGTTTCCCTTGGCTGCTCCGCCTCCAATCTTCCCTGGGGTCTCCTTCGCGCTCTGCGACTCAGCTCCCCAGCCCCCACCCCCGCCCGTTGCTTTTCCTCCTCCTCCTCAGCCGGCTGCTCCTCCCTTCCCCCACCCACTGCTCCTCCTCCTTCCCCTCCTGCTCCACGCTCTCCTCCCTCTTTTCTCCGGCTCCACCACCTCCTCGGGCCTCCCCGGGAAACCGCACGGAGGCCAGGATGGGCGCCGCCGCGTCCGTCCGCCCCCAGGCCACTGCGGAGAGGAAGGCGGGTTGGGAGGACGGCGCCCCACCCGGACTGCAGGCGCGGCCTAACTGGGGCCGACTCCTGCGGCCCAAACAATTGCCGGGGAAGAGGGTGATCACCTCATTGCACCCACTCTCGGGCCTTGCATGTCTGGGGTCTCCTCTCTGTCCACTCGATGGGGGAAGGGAGCAGCACCTTGGGGCTCCCGAATACACAAGACAGTCCCGCGAGGGTGGGTAAGGCCTCTGAAGGGAGGCTTAGGGAGCTTGGTAGCTGGAGGAGGAACACAAGGCTGATCCTCTTGGATGGGGCCTGCAAGACCCAACTGGAAGTCGGGAGCTGGGCAGGTGGCTACTTCGCGTCTCTGCCAAGACAGCCCCAGCAGGGCTGATCCCAAGTCCCCGCTTTGGGCAGGACTCCCTGACCTTCCCTGGCTTTCCCATCGTCCAGGCTAGAGGATCCAATAGTTTGAGCAGAGACCCAAGTAGGCCACTGCTGGCGAGGAAGCTAGATCAACTCCTAAAACATGGAACCTCTATGGTGGTTGGTAGTTTATGTTCCACTCACATCTCATAGCTGGAGAAACTGCGGTCCAAAGATGGGGCTCTCTCTTGCTCCAAATTCCCCCTGCTACTCTAGTGCTCCAGATTCCTGGCCGCAAGACTTAATGCCAGGAAGTGCAGAAAAGTATCGCGGAGGCTTTAAAACAATGTTACAGTGATAGGAAAATAATCTAATAAAAACCCTAACAGCGATCCAAATCTAGCTACATAGGGAAAGAGACAGGAGGAAAACCTCCCCAGGTGCTCACATCAGTTTGCATTCCTTCGGTGGGATGATTTTGTTTTTCATTATTTGCCTTTTAAATTATCTGTAAAATCGTTATGTTACTTTTATAAGGGGAAAGAATTGTTTCGAAAAAGAACGTGAATTCATAGAGACTGCTAATTGGGACATACTGGAGGGAGGCCCTTTCTTTCCCCCTCCCACCGAAGCACAGAAACTTCTTGCTCCCCAAGTATCAGCCCCCACCCAAATGTCCTATGCCGGAAATTCCACCACTGGAGTCCTTTCAGTTAAACATAGACAGTTATTAAGTGTCCAAGGAAAAGGGAGGGAGAGTATCAAAAAAGCAACTACTTTGGGATCTTGCATGTTCCAGAGAATTCCCAAGTGCTGAGTATCCCTGCCTGGACATCTTCCCTTCTGACTGGCCTGATTTATTACCAAAGGGGCTGCCGCCACCTTGGCCCTCTCTCCCTTCCAGCCCCACAATCAGTCACCCTACCACCCAACCTGGCCGGGCTGAAGCTGCCTTCCCGCCCGCCCTCCCAGGCATCATGTCATTTCAGAATTTCACAATTATGGGCACTATCACTCGAAATTATCCTGAGTGGGGCTGGAATGCCCTGGAGTAAAGCCAACCTCTACAGAGAGAGGTGGAGAGAGAGGGAGGACACCCAGACACATCAAAGGACTCACAGAAGGAAAGGCAAGATGAAAAAGTATCAGATAAAGAGAAAGGGGTGGGGGAGCTACACCAGATGAGGAGCTAAGGGGCAAATGTTGACTGCCTTTCCACTGAGGACAAGATCTTATGTCTTCCTTCAGCCTGGTGGCAACTGTGTGCTGCAGACATACTCTGTGCAGGTGCCCTGCTGGGCGCTGAGATGCTGCAGAGAACAGGATAGACTCTGTGCCCCACCTCCACCCCCAAGCCAGGAACTAAACAAAGAAATAGGCACTTGTGACAGTGACTTGTCTACTAACGAAGCGGGGATGCCAGTTTCAAGTTGGGGACTCAGGGGAGGCCTTCTGGGACCAAAAAGAAGACGTCTTGGATGAGGAAACCGACACTCGGGTCTTGATTCCTGAGTCCTGAGCGTTTGCCCTTTGGCACATGTAGCTGCTGTCACCAAGTACTTGCAGATTTGCTGGCAGATGGGGCGCCCCACCCAGATCTCCTTGGCTAGGGTGCACGCCCTTCTCAGAGGATTACCCTGGGCTGACAGATGTCTGAGAGGTTAAGCCCACCCCCCAGGGACTGCTCCTGCAGTGTGACAGCCCAGCCCCCTCGCCTTGGTGGGACAAACTCTAGTGCACCTGACCCTCCACTGCTCCCCCTGGGCTGCCATGGCTTTGGTAGCTCCTCTCCTGCCCTAGCCCACCTCCCATGCCCACGTCAGTCACCCGCCTGACAACCCCCACCGCAGGTGTGCTTCTAGGGAGCCTGACCTAAGAGAGTCTGCTGTGCTTGCCTGCTCTTCCAAGCACTGAGCAAATATAAATCATCTGCCCAGCATGACAACACCTACAGGTATTCCCAATTTCACTTGTACTTTCATAGAAGGGAATTCAGTCAGAAGGAGGGTGACACGGCATGCCAATGAGGACAGATTGGAGAGACCCTCGCTGAAAATCCACACGCCCAACCACGGCCCCTGACCTCTCTGACTCAGATAAGTGAAGCAGGCCCATCGCATTTGTCTTCCTAAAATGAGCCAATAAAGGAAGAGGTCAGATCTGGGGGTGACCAAGGCCTGTTTATGGCTCCATCCATCTTTTTGACTTGTAATGTTTGCCCCAGGATGTCGCTGATTATCCCTAAAGACCTGTGCAGGGAGATGGGATGGAAGAGAAGTTGGTGGGGGAATGAAGGGACTCTTGCCTCTCCAGCTTGGTCAGAAATTGAGAAGTCTCGTGTGTGTGTGCGTGTGTGTGTGTGTGTGTGTGTTAATCACTAGGGAGACTCTGCCTGTCTTTCTTACTGTCAAGTGGGGCTTTCTATGTTGGACCAAAAACACATGCAGGGAGGGGAGTTTTAGTCTTCGCTGCATGTGCAACTATGCATTCTTTATTGCCTCCATATTAAAACCACAGCCTGGCCAACAACAAAAGCACAAACGTTGCAGTGACCTCTCCTCTCACCAAGATTCCTGATGGAAAAACAGCTCAGGAAAAATCCACTTAGGTTCCGGGTACTCAAGATGCAAATACTTATTCTCCTCACAGACCCTCTGGGAAATCCCTTTTCTTAAACTGTTAAAATGCCCTCAAGTATGAATTGCAGAATAGTTTCTTTAAAGTGCTTGTTAAGGAGTAAATCCAACACACTCCTTGCATGGCAGACAGTAAACAGAGACTTTGCAGATTTTTACTCTCTTGGATTCCACCTTCTCTTCCCACCCCACTTCCCGAAGGATAACCTTGATTTTATAAAGGAAGGTACAAAATAGCATCTATCCACATTCAATCCTTGAGAAGCTTCTAGAAAAGGGAGCACCGTGAAGGCTGCAAGCATCACGTCTAAAAGGAGAGAATAAATACAGCCAGAGAAGTCTTGCTTACTTGTATAAACAATCGCGTGTTCTAGGAAGTGACACATTGGGTAATTCTACACAATGTGTTAAGAGGAAAACGGAAATGGGCCGGAGTGGGTCCGAAGAAGAAATGGCTCATTGTTTGGCATTCTTTAAATGCTGGAATAGTTACTCAGTTATGGGCGCTTCCCACCTATTTAAATAATGCAAATCCACAAGCTGTGGCGATTAGATGGAGTTTTGGCTAATTCCTGTCTTGCTGGTTTAGGGACTGCAAAGGAAGAAAGGAGCGCCAAGATCCCTAATCCGAGACCTCTCCCCAGGCTCGGAACTGGAAGGAGACAGGGTGGGGGCTATTCCCTGGGTTTTATTTCATGGCTTTAAGTCTTTAACTTTAGACATTGATTTGACTTGTTTTTTCTGTTGTTGTTGGTTTTTTTTTTTTGCTTTAATTGCGTTTCCCTTTATTTTTGTTTGTTTTTTAATTGAAGTATAGTCAGTTACAGTGTGTCAATTTGTGGTGTACAGCATCATGTCCAAGTCATGCATATATATACATATATTCATTTTCATATTCTTTTTCATTAGAGGTTACTACAAGATACTGAATATAGTTCCCTGTGCTAGACAGAAGAAATTTGTTTTTTATCTGTTTTTGTACATAGTGGTTAACATTTGCAAATCTCAAACTCCCAAATGTATCCCTTCCCATCCCCTTTCCCCCTGATTTGATTTGTGATCAGAAAAGCCCTTGTTTAGATTTTTGAGTGTGGCCAGGGAGCCTGGGAGCGCTTTTCTCAAATGGGACTTCCTTGATTTGTG